TTTCTTTTATCATTAATTCCGTTGAATATTTTTTTCTTGCAGCTTGTTTGAACTTAGAGCACCTTCCTGAAGGTGAGTGGCGTTGTGCAAATTGTGTGGATGAACTTGGTCCTGGTGGAAAAGCTGTTTTTGGAGAATTGTCAAGTATCACGAGACCAATTGTGATACGATTGACTAGAGTTGTTAAAGAACCAGAGATCGAGATTGGTGGTTGTGTTATTTGCAGGTTGGTACCATTGCATATTTTCCCCAGTTTATTTTGTCCCTATGCGGATCATCATCAATTTTATGAACTTAAATGTGTGACTAATCCTCTCCATGGCTCCATCCATCTAATGAGTGAATGATCTCATGATAGTTTCTTCATTGCATTTCTTGGCTCAGGGGTTTCCTATTTTCCTTTTTGCTCACTGCTTTGAGTCTATCTGTTACCAACATTTGTGTTATGGATGATTTTTTTTTTTGTTTTGGTCAGGGGCTATGACTTTAGTGGCTCTGAATTTGATGATCGAACAGTGATTCTCTGTGACCAAGTATGTGCAGCTTCCTCATCCTCTTTCTGTCCAAGCAAGTAATTTGCTTTGTTTTAATATTATCTTTTTCTCTTGCCCGTAGTGTGAGAAGGAGTTCCATGTTGGTTGCCTTCGAGATAGTGGACTGTGCGATTTGAAAGTAAGCCTGAAATCTTCTAGGAGATTATTTATCAACAAATACATGCTAGTTGAAGTGTTCACCATTTCTGTTTTCCTCCACACAACAGGAAATTCCCAAGGATAAATGGTTCTGTTGCGATGACTGCAACAGGATTCATGGGGATCTCCAGAGTTCTGTCTCCAGTGGAGTGCAGATAATTCCTACTTCGTTCTCAAACATAATCAGAAAAAAGAACTTAGAAAAGGAATTACATATTGATGGAGCTGAGGATTGTGTCGAATGGCGAATACTGAGTGGAAAAAGCCGTTATCCTGAACATCTGCCGTTACTTTCAAGTGCAGCTGGAATATTTCGAGTAAGTACTTCTAGATGTGAAACATATTAAATTTCTGTGTATTAGCTTTAGTTGTTCTAGAGTAGGGAATTTGTTGTGAAATAGAACCATTAATGAAGCAGTTGATTTTTTTTTTTGAATTAATCACGGGTATTGTAGAGGCGAGGACGACCCTCCCAACCCAGTTTGTTCCATTCGCAAACGTCAGGATTCAAACCCCTGACTTTGCTTAAGAGATCTAGTGCCTCATCTCACTAGACCAACTAGTTGTTGGTGAAGTAGTTGAAATTTTTAAGTATATAATCATTGATGATGTTGGGTTACGAAGGAAATCATTAAATCTTAGACAGTAGGATAACTTTTTAATGGATGACTGTAGTATTTAAGATCCTGCTCAACAAAAGAAAAATTGTAATTCTCTAATCAAATTGATGAAAACCCATCTGTAACAAAGTACTAGAACTTGTAGTGAAGCTAGGATTTCAGAAATAAGCTAGTTTTTAATAGAACTTGATTACAATCCGAAGTATTTGGTTTTTCTTTGGGATTTTTTGAACATACCTGTGTATAGCTTTTAGCTGGTTTTAAATATTTTTAATTCTCCTACAAATATAATATTTTGTCAGTTTTATTTAAAATTCCTGTCTGCTCAAGTGATTTGCACTTCTTTTTGACAGGAATGTTTTGATCCTATTGTTGCAAAATCTGGTCGTGATTTGATTCCTGTCATGGTCTATGGGTATGTACTTGTTCTTTAACTGTGCCATTTTTGTTTTGCCTTAAACGGTAGAATCTCTTTATTGGAAGAAACTGTTATCAAGAATACATGTTTATTTCTCTCTGCTTATTAGACAAATAATTTGTGATATTACTAACATTGTCTAGACAAATAATTTGCCGTTGGACTGGCTTGTTCCAATATATCTGATGGTTACTCTTTCAATGTCTTTTAGGAGAAATATATCTGGACAAGAATTTGGTGGAATGTATTGTGTGGTTTTGATGGTCAGGTATAATGTTGCTCTCTCTCTCTCCCCCCGCGCGGATTGCAAGGTGTTCGCCTGTCTTATTTTCACTCGATTGTGTATGAATTTATGGATGTAGCATCTGCGCAGGTCTGTTGTTGTATCGGCTGGACTTCTTAGGATATTCGGTCGGGAGGTTGCCGAGCTCCCTATAGTAGCTACAAGCAGAAAACATCAAGGAAAAGTAGGTGTATTATTAGATTGGTCAACTTCAATCCTTTTCTTTTTCACTTTTGTGGCCATAAATTGCTTTAGGTTGCAGCCTAATTTTTGGACCAAGCTGAACTTCCGTATTTGGTATTTTTGGTGTAGGGATATTTCCAGGCGTTGTTTGCTTGTATAGAGAGGTTACTGAGTTCCTGAATGTGGAGAATCTGGTACTCCCTGCAGCCGAGGAAGCTTTATCGATTTGGACAAAGAAATTTGGGTTTACAAAGATGAGTGAGCAAGAAGTAAGTGGAAAAAAGCCATTTTTAACTTGTTTGTGGCAAATGGTTTTGAAACAAAAGAATTAAGCCATTGTGTTTGATGTGTTCAGTTGTCCAAGTACCAGAAGGAACTTCAACTGACTATTTTCAAGGGGACGTCCATGCTGGAGAAGAAAGTGCAGCAGATTGCAGAGTAAACCAGCGACTAACATTTCTTTTATTCTGTGTTTTGATCTTTTCTTGTTTGTAAAATTGGGTTGAAAGGATCCCCTTCTCCAGCAAACATTGCATGCTGCTGACCTTTTATCATGCATGCATGCATGCGCCCTCGACATCCTTTTTTTTTTGTTTCTTTTGGCCTATTCTCCGTATGCTTTTTTAATATGTAAAAATTGAAAAGAAAGTAGAAAAAAGAGATGCAAAATTAGTGTTTTTCCCTTTCAACTGGTATGTTTGGTAGGAGGATGACAAGATAAAATAAAATAAAAATAAAATGTTTTTTCATTCATTGTATGGTAGAATTGAAAATTTAGAGAAAGTAAACATAAATTTTTGAAAAATATGTATTTTAAATAAATTTATATACATATTTTTTCTTTCCTTTAAAAATGGATGTGACCTCTCTCAATTTAGTTTCTCGTTCAATTTATTTACTGAATTTTATATATTAAATTATTTTATTCACTCGATCGTTAATTTTAAAAGACTGGTAAAAAAAGATAATAAATAAATAAATATTTTTTAATGGTCTCTAGACTGGTAAAAAAAGAAAATAATTAAAAGTTCAATCCCTCGATTAGAAAACTATTTAACCCCATGATCGAAGGTCACCGACCATAACCAACAACCTTCCGACAAGGGCTACCCACCAAGCCGGTAGCCACACCTCATTAGCCTTTTGCAAATAGTCAGAAGTGCTGATACATCTTTGGAAAAAGCCCCAAACTCCCCACTTCTACCCATAGATCTTTCAGTTTCTCTTTTCTCGATCTCCGTCGTCCATTGTCGGATAGAGCCTAAATGGAGATATGTTGGTCTCCTTACCGTGCCCGTCTACTCACCATTGGGATTCGTCATCCGACCACCAGAGCCACCACCATCAGGAACCCGAAGGTAAAGTCTATTCTTTTTCTCCATTTTCTCCATATTTCCTTTCGTTTCTTCTGTTGATTGTACTTTTTCCTTATTTTTCTGTTTTTTTCTATGATATCGTTGTTCCAACTCATCGTCACCATCATAAACGCCGAATGCCAAAGGTTTCTCGATCATGGGGATTGACTTTAGGATTTACAATTGGTGTCTTGGGACTATGGTTGTAAGTTTGAAGTTATGATTATGGATCCAAGAGTTGACGGGTAGAGCTTGGTGCCAACGTGAAACTATCCTTGATAGCTCATAGTGGAGAAGAGATTATCATGGACGAGATTAGAACGCTATGAGGGTGTTTTGGGAAAGATATAGTAGAATTTGGATAATATTATATATGATAAATTATATCGTTCCTTACTAAACTATACTTTTTTTTATATTCCTCACAACTTTTAATTTTTTTATTTTTCTAATTGTACTTTACAAATTGAATCTTTTTATTCCTCTCGATAACTCTCTAACGTTTTGATGATATACATTTTTTATATTTTAATATAAAATAATTGAAAAAATAATAAAAAATTAAAAGGTAGTTGGATGACACCGTCGACCATCGTCAACCGTTGTAAATGGTGGTCGTTCGGTCCTAAATTTCATAGATCGATTTGTCTCGACATCGTGATTTTAAGTCAACCTCCATTTTGTTAGAACTTGCTTCAAAGTCACAAATTTGATATTGAAAGTGAGGGAGTCTAAATATTTCAGTCGAGATTCACAGGGTTTAAGGTATTTTTCGGAGAAATAACCACCAGATTCAGATTTAGGGTTGAGATGAACCGACCTATGAAATTTGGGACTGAACAACCACCATCAACTACGATGGATGGTGGTCGGAATGAAAAATGGTGTCGTGGTGGCTAATGGAGAGAAAATGAAGAAGAAAAGGAAAAAGGGTAAATTATACAATTCCTCATTGAATTTTACTTGCTCTCATATTTTGCTCACTGAACTTTCAATATATGATTTGAAACGATATCGTTTTGATATATATTTGAGTTTTTTTAAAACCACGTCATTTTGATGATTGTGTCATGTCATAACACCATTAAATAGTTAACGGTAGAGTGAACAAAATGATTCAATATGTAAATTCAATGAAAAAATAAAAAAATTGAAAGTTGAATGAGAAAATAAGAGAAAGAGTATGGGTTAATAAGGAACATTATAAGTTACTCTATTATATATCCTATTATTTTATTTTATTTTTTCTGGCCTATCTTAAAATCTCATTTATTTAATACAATTCATAACACCATTAGAAGATTACGGTAGAGTGAGCAAAAAAAAATTTAGTTTATAAAGTTTAATAAACAAATTAAAAAAATTGAAAGTACAATAAACAAAATAAAAAAATAGTAAAGTTTAGTGATAAATAATGTAATTTATCCTAACATTTAAAACATGTGAACCCTTAAACCCTACCCTGGCTGGGTTCCATTGTTTTCTCCCTTCAAATACCGTCGGCTCTACAAACTGTCTCCGTTCCGATGGCTTTAGCTTCCAGGTTCCGCCGCGTCTTCACCGAACCTTCCTCTCTTTGTTTTCAATTCTCTTCGCTTCGTCTAAATTCGACTCTCACTGCCCCCAAGCTCTTCATTAGCGGTATCCTCTCGTTTCCTTTGTTTATCTATTTCTTTTCCCTTGGTTTTCATTTTTCATTTCTTCATTTTCTATTTAAAATTTTGATGTTTTCCATTGGGCTAATGAAAAAGTAAGGAAAATTTCTTGAAAATGGAAGCTATCTTATAAAACAAGAGGGGAAATGGTGAAGTACTATGGTATTAGATAGCTGGGGAGCGAAAATTAGTGATATATTTAAGTATAAAGCATACACTTATGTGGCTCGGAAATCTTCACAGGCATGACCTGATTATTATAACTACGATTTCTAATAGAAGATGAGCTAATTCCGGCTTTGACATGCTAATTTGTTAGTCATTCCAAAAATAGTTTAGTATTTGTCCTGCCACTTGTATGAATGATGCTTTACAATCATACTCTTACATCAAATAGCAAATGATTTAAGGATTGGAGTAGTAGTGGATATGATTTTTTGGCAATACACTGTGCCTTTGGACATTTCTGAGTCCTTGAAATGCAATAACTGGTTCATGGCCTTTAGTAAATCATTAAAATAACATTCAGGATTTGGGGGTTTTATTTTTAATTTTTATTGTCGCTGTCATGCTTGCATCACAAGAAATTTTCATGTATATGACTTTGATCCTAATCAGAACTGTGGGTTAGATGAAGAATGGATAGAATTCATAGTAGGAAAGCTGTATGCTTGTGCCTGGATATGTATGTAGGTCAGATGTATATTCTCTCAAAGTTGTTGATAGTGAGATGTTCTAAATGTGCATTTAGAAGAAGTGTAATGCTCCTTTTCGTCCTTCCATTTTCAACTTCCCATTTAGCCCATAATCAAGTCTGTATGAATAACAAGAGCTGGCATTTACTGTAACAAACAAGAAATAGGAGAGAGGGCTTGCAACTTTGCAAGGTGCCCACTGCACTGCAGTTCCCGTAGGCACTTAATTTCTAGACTTCAAAACCTCTCTTCCATTAACTGAAGTGTTGGAGGGAACTCTGGTTGACATCTGAGATTGTTAAAATTCGGATGGGGAGATCATCGAATCTCTGTATGGATGGTAGAAATTACAGGGATGGAACACAAGTTCTATAGTTAGCATATTGACTCACAAATGGGTTCTCTAACAATTGGTGCACATCAGCACTTAGAAATTTTAGTCAGAATTACTCTTTTTATCCTTAAGGTGGTTGTGTTCCTTTGGAATGAAACCAATAAGAGAACTATACATTATTTGCCTTTTCTTATTAAATTTTATTTAATGTCCTTTCATTACTGCCTGCTGACACTTTTTTATCATAATCTCCTCATATCCGTGTCTATTTAACAGGTCTTTCAAAAGAAACAACAGATGAACAGTTTAAAGAAGCATTTAACCCATTTGGCCAGGTTGTTGAAGGTAATTTAGTGTTTCCCCGTATCGTTTCTTTTTAGATTTGGTCTTTGGAATTATGTTTACTTTCTAGCAATATCTTCGTGTTGCTTTCGTCGTGATATATTGCTTTAAATGATCTTGCAGCCAAAATTATAAGAGATAGAGCCTCAGGAAGGTCAAGAGGGTTCGGTTTTGTTACGTATACGTCCATCGAAGAAGCTGAGAAGGCTAGAGAAGAAATGAATGCTAAGTTTCTGCATGGATGGGCTATTTTCGTAGACCCTGCCAAACCAAGGTAATTGGGACCTCCGCTGAGATTAGAATCCTAATCTTCTGAAACAGGTTTAGGGTATTTCAGTTAAACGATGAGCCAATGAGGGATTCAATTAAATTCGACAAAGTTAAAATACATACAATGGATGTTGAAATCTATGATCCCTTCATTCAGGATGGGAATCTTTTATTTGTACTCACCTTATATTCCTAGTTGGAACTGTTAATTGTCTTGCGCTCAAGTTTTCCACTATGCTTGTATAATTTTTTTTACTCCAAGACTGAAAGTTCACATCAGATTCCATGAAGAACATTCAAGTTATATATATGCTCACAGGTTGAATATTTATATCTTATATTTCGAGTAGATGGATTATGCATTCACTTTTATGGCTACATTTTTTAAAAGAGACCAAAAGCAGAGAATTAGATACCATTTTTATGGATTAGAGGGCAGATTCCACATGTAATTTCACAAAGATAGTAAAATAATAAGAGCATAAGATTCAATACATCTCACTGTGCAACTCATTAAATGAGTATTAGTAGTAATATTATATTTTACACAGCAAAATGTAGTTCAGTGCTGCCTGAGACACCACACTAACAAATTTCAAATCCACAACATAATAAGATTACCATAGCATAATCGCAATTAAAAGCAACTGTAAATTTTCATACCAGAGAATGTAGTAAAAAATGTTTTATTCTAACATGGATCAGTAAACCAAAGGCCTTACTCATAGAGCCTACGCCACAGAGTAGTGCATCGTAGTTGGTGATGTTTTCAGAAAACTGGTACCACAATACGGGTCTGTACTACCAGCCTTGAAAACATTAAGGTTTCCGGAGGTGTCAACCTCGAGTGGTTTATAGTCATACCACCTATCCGAACTCGCAGAGGCACTGCTGCCTCTGCGGAAGTGTTTGTTGCTTTTACAGCCTCCATTACCTCCACGTGAGGAGTTGTTGCTCTTCTTCGATTTCTTTCCATGTTTCTTCTTGTCATAGATCTTCTTCGACTTCTGCTTTTTGGCTCTGACCGTGTGCAATACGGATGTCGGCAGAGGATCGTACACATCAGAGGCCCATGTCACTCTCAGCTCCTTTGTCGGTAAACCCTGTTTTCCACGGCTGCCTTTAAGGGCAGACACTAGCTTTAATGGAGTCTGTTAAAGAATAAAAGCCAATCAGAACGGAGGGAAACTTTAAATGAACCAAAGAACCAACTATAATTCGAAGAAGCTAACAAGAGCCTTCATCCAATTCATCGAAAATACAATGCTAGTCTTATAAACAGTATGTATCATCAAAACTCTAGAATTTACCAAGAACAAAAGGCACTTACCGGCAAAGAAATTGAACGAGAGCAGGGTGATTGAACCGAGTCCTCGCAGAATATCCACCTCAACGAAGTTTCAATATCATCATCATCATCTTCGGGCGGCGAGAAACGAGAAGGAAATGATGCAGACTTACCTAAACAGTTTACTGGAGGTTTGCTTTGATGTCCTTGGTCAAGTAAATCCTCCACATCACTCGTATCGCCACCATCAAATTCATTCAAGCAAGCATGATTATTGCCTGTTTAATATCACCTGGATCAACTACCTCTTTAGAACCCAACATGTCCTTTTATGATACCAGTGAATTCAAAGAAGTCCTACTTAGCTGCAAAAATGGACAGTCCATTGTAACAAGTCTTGAGAAGAAAAACTCATGGGCCATTAAAAGATCATAGGTGGTTTCGAAGACATATTATACATAAATTAATTCTAAATCAAGCTGAAAAATTTTCATATAATTAATCAAGATCGGTCCAAAATTAAAAAAAACAAATAAATTGGAAAATAACAAACTTGCCACAAAAATATTCGTGGGATTCATTCATTGATAAGTAATATCCATACAAATTTAGCTAACAAATTCAATAATCCATATCATAATCAACCCTAACCCATAAATACTGCAAATAAATTGAGGAACTTTCTTAATCAGCTATATATCAGCAAGATTAATATACCTTTCTTAAAGGCGGCTACCGGAATCTATTGAAGACCTTTAAACCTCCGGAAAGAGCAAACCCCAGATCACGATCGAAACCAATTCCCCGGATCTTGTAAACAAACTATATTTCTATTTATCTCAACGTAAAGAAGAGGAATCGCGAAGAAGAAGAGGGGAAAAGAGAGAAAACGAAAGAAAAAGAGAAAAAATGGAATAAAAACCACTGAATTGATGGGGGAAAACGTTAACAAAGATTACCACGACGATCGCTCTTTTGAAGATGTTTCAAACGATTGGAACATGAACATAAACCGGCATGAAAACGGGTCAAGGAAGGGATCAAAGGGAGCAAAATCGATTGGAAGGGTAACGAAGGCATATTATCTTCCTATGCTCTTCGTAAACCCCAGATTATGTTAAGAGAAAAGACCCTATTTTTCTGTTGTTTCCGTCTTGGGATCGATTGAGATTTAGAAGAAAAACCCTAACACCCAAAGGATCAGATAAATAAGAACGGGAAGAAAGCAAGAAGGTGATGGGATCGGCAAATGAAATGCAGAGGAAGGTCAAGCCCCGATGAACTATCCTACTATATATGAAGGATAATTACAATTTCTTATCATTCAATTTTTTCACTCTTATTTTAGTAATTGAAGTTTAACAATTTTCAATTTAATCACGTCATTTTAACTTGTGTCATTTTTATCACTCGATCCTTAAATAACAAACGGTGGGATGCGACACTAAAATGAAGTCTTTTGACTTCTACAAAAAGTGATTTTCAGATCAAAATGACTTTTTTATTTTAAAAAAATCTTGTAAAATTTGTTTTTAATTTTTTATGTTTATTCATTTCATTGAATCTATTTAAATGTTGATCAGTGTACTGTTTATCATTTCGATTACCAACGATAATAGTCGACGAGTCTCAAAATTCATTAAATTTGTATCTTTTATTGAGCGACTCGATTGTGAGTTGGTTAGTATTTAACTATGTGTCCTTTAAAAAATTTTGTTGCTCAACTCGACTTGTTGATCGTTAAGCTCATTAAATTTTGCTCGATTTATACTCGTTAAAAAATTGTTGCTCTATTCGACTTGTTGCTCGTTAAGCTCACTAGAGATTTTAATATATTTTTTATTTATAGGTTAAATCTACTAATACTATATAGAGCTTACTATAAACATAAATTAACAAATTTAACTAAAAAAATATTAAAAGAGTATATGAATCAATTTCAAAGTCTAAACTCTGAATTAACAATACAAATACATCAAACTAACATATTAAAACTAAAGTAATAATCCAAAAATACATCAAACTAGCATATTAAAAATATTATTGAAAAAGAAAAAGAAGTTCAACGATACAAAATCAATCTTAAAAATAAGAAAATCAACACCTCTTCACTCTATTCATTGCTTTTGCAATCACCAAACTAATAAAAATTATAAAAAAATTTAACGAATTACTCGTAAACTTATTGAGTCTAATTGAATTTTACTGGACTTAATTCGTTAAGGTCTCCAATCGAACTCGAATCGAGTGTTAAGTAAATTTTGATCAAATCGAATTCGATCAGTTCACTGCTCAGCTCATTATTCACCCCTGGTATTGCTTGTCCTAGGTAATTTGGATTTTGAAAATGAACAGTTCTTTCTTATAATACCTTACTGATTCAATTGATTTGAAATACAGCATTGAACAATGTAAGCATTTCTGAGTCAACCAGAACACTGAGCGTGGGGCAAAATTCTGCAGGTTTGACTTCTTCTCGTCTCATTTCTCAATCTGGCAGTCATAATTATTTTTAAATTCGATATTTCGTTTTAAAAACGTTATGACATTGGTTAATTCTGATGATCGTTGCTCCAACATTCATTTTCATTTAAAGATCTTATTCTTTGATTTATATCGTCTAACGATCATAAAATAGTACAAAACTAAAAAATTTAATATATCTTTCCGCGGGTGTTTTCCAGCTTTGCGTTCTTGCTGATGAAGGTTTGTGGATTGAGATGGCAAAGGTGAGATCGATGAGAGTTTGAAGTTTAGATTGAGATATAAGGATTTAACTTTTCTCCTCTAAATTTTATGTTGGCGCAATTATTAATAAAATGAGTCATATCATTACTAGGGCCGTAAATGAGATGAGATAGATCACGAGCTACTCGAGATCGACTCGATCAAGGCTCGATAAATACTCGGATCGAATAGACTCAACTCGAGTCGAGTTCTTAACGAGTCTAAACGAGCTACTCTATATTCGACTCGAAAAGCTGGTGAGCATATCGAAAATATAATATATTAAGATTTTATTTTTAAAAAATAAATTATTAATAATAATAATATTTATGTATTGATTTGTTTTTTTAAAAAAATATAGTAAGATTTCATGTATTTAAGGTTCATGTTCGAGTTTGAGTTTGAGTCTTCAATCGAGTTAAGTTTAAGATTTTTTTTCATTTCGAGCATTTTCGAGTTGCTCACGAGATTCAGTTCAGGATTTCGAGTTCGAGTCGAGTTTGAAAATTTTAAGCTCGCGAGTTTTCTAGTCGAGTCGAGCTCCATTTCAGGGTTTTTGAGTCGAGTCGAGCTCAGTAATACTCGACCTCGACTCGACTCGTTTACACCCCTAATCATTACAACTTTTGTGATTTAACGGTAAAGTGATAAAAGCAGAAATAATTTTAAAATTTAATAATTAAATTAATAAAATTTAAACTTTAATTATCAAAATATGAGTAAGAAAGAGTTGAATGATAAAAAAATGTGTAATATACCCAAACATAAAATAAAGAGGAAAGATCCTATGTAAGAGCCGATGGATATCAGCCGTATCATGTATGCCCCGCCGAATCAGGAACGTAAAACGACTAATCATGAATTGTACTTTTTTTTTAGATTGAGATTTTATTTTTAGATTTTGTTCAGTCAATACTCTTAGCTTAGCTGTAAATAAATCTTTTGTTTAATTAAGGCTTTAATATTAAAAAAAGGTGCCCAACGAATATCTGTTTTTTTAGTTTAATGCCTAAGATTTTTTTTGTTTTATTTTGGTGCTTAACGTTATATTTCGTAACTTCGAATGGGTCACGCTGTGACGGACCGTTAGTTTTCTCCGTTAAGTGACACATGTCACAATCTGGTAATTTAAAAATTCCTTTTCAAAAATAATATTAAAAATATTATTATATTTATAAAAAATCCTTATTTTTTTTTAAATTACAAAAAAGCCCAAATCCTAATAGTGAAGCTTACCCACGGCGCCGGACGACGACTACGACGTGACCCACCGGTTGGGTTTTGAGCGGACGGCGACGAGGAAGCTAAATATAGTGGCAGTGAGGCGAACGGAGGTCCGAGGTGGTCGGAATCGTCTAAAATCCGAGGCGTCGGGGTGTGTTTTCGACGAAACTTCAAGGGTTGGATTCCGACGAACGGCGACGACTATCCACGAATTGTTTTGGGGAATTTGATCATGGAGGCGAGGTGCTTCGATTGGGCTGGGTGGTGACAGGAACAGACGAGCGGCGGTGGTTGGCGGTCGGCGTGGGTTTAGGGGTTGAAATGAAGGTTTTCAAATTTTTGAGACTGTTTCAAAATTAATGTGTTTTTAATTTTTAAAAAAATATAATTTTTAGATTAATCCAAAAATTATATATTTAATTATAATTAGATCAGATATTTTTTTCAGTAACTTACGGTGCTTAGGCATTGCATTATTGAAGTAACAGTTAAATCACAGTCTAATAAATTAAATTAGTGAATTTGGACTGATGTAGTAACACCCTGAGTATTGGCATCATCGATTATGTTGAAATCCACCAATATTTATAAGAGAAAATAACCTCAGTGACCAAAAATCACATATAATATACGATTTTAACTAACTTTTTCCGGATTTGCCAAAATGACCAACAAAATCGCAATGCGATCGCTAATTCGCAACGCGATCTCCATTATCGCAAATTCGCGTTGCATTTTCGCAATGCGATAGTTGAAAATCGCGTTGCGATGGTCTACAATATCGTTGCGATTTTCCCAATTCACAATGCGAATAAGTAAATCGCAACGCGAATTGGAAAATTCGCAATGCGAATAAGTAAATCGCAACGCGAATTGGGAAAATCGCAATGCGATAATAAAAAATCGCAACGAGATACTTACTTTCGCAACGCGATACTGACTTTCGCAACGCGATTTACATAGCGCCATTCGTATTAACGCGTATTTTTTTTTTCAAATTCCAAACACGTATTTTTTCTTAATAAATCGGAAAATGAACCGTCCACAGTAATCGCAACTCATAACCTCAAACCCAAAAACACAACACTCAGTCCCATCTCCATCTCTCACTCTCTACGGCGAAATCCGTCCCCATCTCCGAAGATTTCCGTCCCCATCGCCGGCGAAATCCCTCACAACCATTCACAGTCAAAAATCCCTCACAATCATTCAGAAATAGAAAATCAACCTCCGAGGGTTAGTTTTTTTTATTTTTATTTTGAAATTTTTTGCATTATTTTAGGTTTTTCATATTGAGATTGATGATAAGTTTACTGGTAATTTCAATAATAGATTAACCATTTCACTTAGATTTCTTATTAAATTCATTCGATTGCTGCCAATACTGCTAAACTGTTTAGCCTGTGAAGTTAGTATTTGTCTTTGCTTTGTCTTT